TTAATTTGTCTATTTAATCAGAAACAAATTTTTAATCGGCTGAAATTATGCAAATTACCATGAGACGAATTCACTTAAAACCTACCAAAGAGGGATAGACCAATCTGTGAGACATTTTTATGCAAAAGAAATAATTCATAACATCTGGTGAATGGACGAGAAACACGATACAGCATAAAAAATGTTAATTTTACATTTATTAAGCTGTTCAATTGTGCAGAAATGCGAGCGGCTTATCCGTGTACAGTCTTTTCCGGTAAAATTTGTGCCAATTTGAGTGGAACTGATTGAAAGGTTTAAAAATCACCAGAGAGAAATCAGGTAGAGTTGTCATAGAATTAATTTATTTGTAGGTAATTAGGATAACAAGAGTTCAAAAATCTATTCATCAAAATAAAATTAGATAAATTTTCAAGGTGAGAGAAAAGTGAGGTTTTTAGAGTCTAGCGGTTGAATTTCTGATATTTCGATTAATCAATCCCCATCACAGATAAGATTTTTTAAAAAATTCGGTCAGATTTATCACTAACTCACCTGCTGTTATCTACCATATTTACTAAAATATTAGAATTTGTTAATTAAATTAGATGAACTGCATTGGCTAGAGGTACGTGCATTTAATGAGTTATAAGTAAATAAAATTTGGAGTAAAACCTCTCATACTTTTGAGGCGTCAGATCAATCTTCCGCTCACATTCAAACGTTGGCTTACAACAGCTTGGACACAACACTTCCTCCTTCTGAATTCTTAGTCACCATGGATTTATCCCCAAACGCAGAGTAAAATTCCCCACTGATTTTAATTAATCAGGCAGCGCTCATCAATAAGTGCTCAAGTGTGACCTTACCTCTGACGGAAAACCTGCGCTACGTTTATTTTGCAATGCCCTTCTGGTCTTATATCCAACCTCTCCTACAGTCAGTTCTTCAGATTACGAATGGCCACTTTGACTTTAATAAAATTCTACTATATGATAAACCGGCTGGGAATACCCGGTGTTGCTGACTTTTTTGGGTGCGCGATAGATTTACCTCCACGTGGTGCACCCTGGGCAACGTGTACTCATACGGAAAAAAGTCTAATAACTGGCAGTTGACTTCTGACTTCAAACTACCATCACCCCACTGTATGTCATATTCGATCACTTTCACAGTACTCATCTTACCTTTTCTCTGCCTTTGTGTCTGCCTGATTCTTTCACATCTGTTAATCCTTATTCTGTCTCTCCTCTCGACTTTTTGTCACTCTGATGTTTCTCCTCCCCTCCGTGAAGCCCGAAGTCAGCTAAAGGGCTAATGATAACTTTCGAAACGCCTGCCTTTTGAGATGAATAAATACTATATGATAAACCCTGATTTGGAGCTCAAATGAGTTCATTTGCCAGACTGGATGATTTCGAGGCTCATAAAGGACAACAGGGATTACACGGAAGAAAAAGTTGAAAACTCCTAAACTCACATCTGATAGACCAATCACAATGGCACTATGTCTTTTAGCTCAGACTTATGTATCGATATTTAAAGTTCTTCCTAACACCCTTTTACCTGGCTTAAAAATATTGTGCTATGAGACGCGATTTCATTAAGTGTGAAGGGAGAAAGTTGGGCACGTCTTTACTTGGAGTCTACAGCAACTGCTATCTAGATGAGAAAGGTCAAAAATAATGATCCAAGAACTACAATGAGGAATATTTCTCCGGGACACTAATGAAAGCGTTATGAATCAGTATTTGATGGTGGGTAGGGGGGGGAAGGCTTGGGTGACCTCAAATGTTTTCGTTAAGGAATTCCAGCTGTTGAAACAATATTAAGTGTTTAAACACCTTTTCGTAAAATGAGTCATCAAGTGTTCCTGATGTCTTGGACATATTGCTTATGCCGATAGCCTGTACATAGCCTGTAGTAATTCCAGTGCTATAAAGCGTTTTCAGAAAAACTCATGTGAGTTCTAATCACTTATGACAAACGAATGACTATCGATGAAAATGCTTGGGTAAATGTTAGAGGAAATGCAAATATAAAACGCCTGCTTTCCTGGAGCACGGGAAGGTTACTAATGAATGCAGATGGAACAGTCACTAAAGTCGTAACCCACAAGCATCTCTCAAGCCGAACAAAAACTCGAAAGGCTACGAGGAATTTTTAAATGCCCATATTTATAAGCAAAATTACAAGCAAGCTTTAACCAATTCATTGCTAGTGTTTAGGGTACCTGTTAAGTACAGGCTTGAGGCTCTTATTAATACTGTGGAATTCTGGGCGGATTCCTCCTTATCGATTCACCAAGCTTAAAGTCTCCAAGGAAATCACGAAAGAAATGTCACACAGGGTCCTAGTTATGGTCATCATGACTAAAGTAACCAAGACCTCCGCCCTCCCCTCTTAGATTTTAAAAGAAATCGGTCGAAAACGTTGTAATGTGAATCTACCGACTGTATGCGAAAATTCGATGAAGAGATCAGGATCACCGTTCAGTGAACGGGGAAAATCCACACGGAATTCAAGTTATGTAATTTCAGATATATTTTAACTTTTATAAACTACCAGTGTCAACCACAGTTTTGATATTACTTTCAATGAATACAACTTTAAAAAATTGTTTTCAGAAAAATACTTGATTATTCAGAGAAGATTGAAATGTTTTTTTCTATTGTATTTAAAAAAATCAATTCTTTCCTAAGGCGTATTTGTTCATTCCTAATAAAAGTTGAATTCCCTAACTATTGAAGAATTATCACAGCAACTCGTGAACCTATCGGGAAATCTGCAATTGCATTTGAAGATCCTCGACACATTTTGGCAGAATGAATGGAAGGCGATCGTTGATAACAGCATTGGGATGGCGAAGCATTGACTGCATCAAAATCAAGCATTTGTTTCATCCTTGAAGCCAAGGCAAGATTGACACTTCTGGAACCTCTTCTATGCATTTGAGTTTAAGATACGCGGAATGAACCCTTGATAATTGCAAAAATAATACACGCGAAACAGTTACAAGCTGATCCTATTGTCAACAATCGGAAGAATAAATCAGAAACAAAAGGAACGTCTACAAAGTTTATTGGATAGAATAGGGACCGTTCTTTCAACATTGCAGTATGATAACTACTGCCAAAAGCGATAATGATGTTTCGAAAAAGCCAGGAAGTAAATCTAAAGGCCCTATCATATCCCTGCCTTCTCCGTTTATTATACTTCCAGGTCCTTGATGCATACGGAAATAAAATGAAAAATTTTAAAATATGACTAAAATAAAATTATTTACTTGAAAGAAAATTATGATTCAAGAATGACGGATTTGCATAATTGAGTTTCAGCAAAACATCAATAATAATCTGAAGAAATTGGAATGAAAGCAGAAAGTAAATTATATATATATATATATAGTGTAGTATATTATATATACAAACTTTAAAAATAAATAATATCTTATTGCTGATTTCAAAATGTACGATCTCTAGATTAGTAACCATAATATTTCAATATTCTATTAGATTTATTCACATTAGTTTCCAACTTTCAAAAGTAGTCCAATTGCATGGTATAAAGTAATTTCGAAGGTGCTTATGGCAACCGAATATAAAGTTATGAATACAATTAATGAGTAGAAATGATTACCATTTTATTTACCTAATGCTTCCTAAAAGGTCGGCGTTTTTTAATGTAAGTACTCAATTCTGGTCAGTCAGATTCTATGTCATTCAAATTAAAATTTCGTTTCTATTTTTGTATAATTTGCGAGATATTTAACAAGAAGGCTAACGCATTGAAATGTTACGGTAAACAAATTTTTATTTCTTTATTTGCATCGTTAACTCGATTTACTTCAGATATAATGGAGACAAATTCTCAAAGCTGCACTTTGACCCATTAGGAAACGACTTGTAAACAAAAAATTTGACAATTCGCTGCGTCAAAATCCAAGTGAACTATGAGTCTGCTTTACTCTCTTTTTATAATTGTTTTACAAATACATGATAATGGGGGGGGGATGAATTTAAATGGATTGTAAACTAATAATAAAATATATAATTTTTGTGTCAAAATCGAAACTGCATAGTTCTTTTCTTAAAATGAATTCACCTGAATTTTATTTTTAAGGCTGAATTAGAAAAGGAGTTTATGTAACATTAATAAGAATTTCGGGACATGGATTAGCAGAGATGTTACTCATCAGCTCGGTTCAACTCAAAGCAAATTAACCAACTCAAGTCAAAATCTGAAGTTAAATTTTTGGTAATTAAATTGAATAAATCTTTATATTTCGTTAATTAAAAAAAAAATAAATAAAATGATTAAAGACTATATATCAAAATTACAATACAACAAACGCGTTCCACCAAGTTGGTCACTGTTAAAACTAACTATTATCACGAATTTTAAAACTGTTTGCATTATTTCTTGCTTTGCCGTACGTTACTTTCATCGATCGATTAATCTGCTAGCAGCCAATCAACTCGAAGCAAGAGCTTCTGTCTCTGCAAAACATCTCAAATGGCGCCAGCTGATTGGCCCATGCGTTAAAAGTGGGCAAATTCCCTGTACCTGCTAGCCTTCGCTCATTCTTCTCAGTGTGTGGCAAACTTAACGAGGCTTAGGGATTTCGATTTGACAACGAGTTTTCTTGCTTGGAATTTATACCATTTTTCCTAAGAATAAAAGCCCTAAGGTCTGTTTAAGCTATTTCTTGCCTTGATATTTTTAAGTAAAATAAAGAAATAAAATTATTATTTTCATGATTAAACACTATGGTAATAATTAACATTAAATAACTGCCAATTCAATTGAGAATTGTGTTTCGTTAGTTTTTTATTAAACTTTAATTAGATCTGTTAGATAGTCATAGAGTATATTGTTAATTTAACATCCCACTGATGTGGTAATCAGATAATTCCACTGTATTTAATCATTTTGACTGAGTATTGAGTTTTATGGTTAGATTATCAATTGTGGGCCAATAAAATTGCTTGGGGCTTTGTTTGCATTTAGAAGCTGAACCAATGGCACCTTTGAGCACTCAAGATACAACGGAATCGAGCGAAGCGGCTCATTCAGCAATATCAACAAACCATGCTTCAGTGGAATCCACTAGTGACACTAGCTCCCAAAATGCAAAAATTCAGGAACAAGTTAAGGTGGTCATCAACGATTTGGCCAAGAAAATGCATGGTAACTTGAGTTTATTATTCTACTGTTATAGCAACCTATGCATACTTAATAAAATAGGCACTTTATTTCAAAGACCACTTCACTCCCAAGTTATAGCAAATCACAAAATCTAAATTAGACGGTAATCTATAATGACCTCTTAAAAATAGGCTGTTAATGGATATTAAAGCGCATTCAAATTTTTCCAGTTTATTTCGAGACTTTAAAATGAGATGTTTTGATTTTATTTATTTAAGTTAATGGCAAATTTCTTTCCACTATAAACCCTGCAGCTTTAGTTTGTCAGAAATTTATAATTTATTTGTCTTTGCAATATCTAACTGAAAATTTTAAAAAAATATGAAGCTGTAATGCCTATTTTAATATGCGTAAGGGTCGTCAATTTAATACAGTTGAAATTGAGAAATAGTATTCGTATTCTGATTTATTTTATATTGTACAACAAAACATCTTTGAAATAAGCAAAATTTTGGCCTTTAAAGATTATTTTAAAATAAATACTGATTAATTATTATAATAAGAATGAAAATTTCATATTACTAACCGGCTTGCCCCCCTCACTAGAAATTGTGTCTAAATTAAGCTATTGGTTTGAAACAAAATTGCTTTTGTCTATTTCTCAACTCACAACGATAAAACAACTATTGAGAAATGCTTCAACTGTTATAAAAGGCAAGTAATTTTTCAGTAAAAAATATCGAAATCAAGAAGTCTGGTTCGGCGCCTACTCGGCATCCTTTATCGATGGTTTCAATTAATTATCAGTAGACCGCACAATGAATTGAATTTTTTAGTTAATGTGATTTTCAGAATGTCCATAGTCTAAAAAAGGAATGAACTTTATTAAAATTCGAATGAAAAATATTAATCCCAATATGGCAATTAACTCGAATTGTAATAATTCTTTTTCAAAATAATGCCAGAAATAGTTGACGAAATTTTTCTTTCTCAGGATTTTCTTAAGGCATACAAAATGTTGCGAAAATAGAATAATTTTTATAATAAAAAGTAGGAAATGCACTGAACTTTGACTTGAAAATAGATTTTAAACAAAGTGATCAACAACTAGTCAATAATTGGGAAGGCCTGATGATTCAGCATCCACTGCGTCGTTTTAGTGCCACCATCAGCAGTTATCGCGATGATAGTCGGATTCGCCCTCTTTCTTCTCCTTATTCTCTACTGCATCTGCAAACGCGGTATCTTTAAACGGCATCGAAAAGATAAGACCGGAAAGAAGAAGGTGGATATAAAATCAGTCCAACTTCTTGGCAAACAGCTCGGCAAAGATCAGGTTGTCTGCTGTCACTCATACTCTCTTGTTAATATTTAATTTCCTTTAATTGCTATTAGCTGGTTAACATCACATTCAAGGCTATAAATTGATCAAAAAAATATCGGTAGGCAGTAGCCAATCCCCACTTCTTAAAGATGAGTAAATAATTTATTTCAAATGGCAGGCGTTATGATAGGTATCATTAGCCCTTTAGTTGACTTCGGGCTTCACAGAAAGGAAGATGAACATCAAAGTGGCAAAAAGTCGAGAGGGGGACAGAATAATGATTCATAGACGTAAAAGGGACTGACGCAAAGGTAGAAGAAAGGTGAGGTGAGCACTGTGAAATTAGTCGAATTTGAAATGCAGTGGAGTCTTGGTATTTTGAAGTCAGAAGTCAGCTGCCGATTAATAGACTTTTTGCCGCATGAGTATACGTTGCCCAGGGTGCACCACGTGGAGGTAAATCTATCGCACACCCCAGATGAGTAAACAAAGAATAGCCACAAAAGGCTAGTCTTGAAGAGGAATCAGTATCCTTTTGGAGACAATACTTATCATAAACTTTGTGATTGGATTATTTTTAGCGATTGATCTTCCCACTAAAAGGGGACATTAAATGGATAAGGCGACACACTGC